ATCAAAAGTTAGGCAATAGAGGTGGTGCTAGAATCAAAAAAAACATAAGAGCTAAGTTAGAAGGTTTTTTTCTGAACGGGAATCGAGTAGATAAAGACAAAATGAGCACAAAGGCCATGCAGGCTGAACTCCTAAAATTTGTTGAAAATAGAGACATTGAAGCAGAGAATATTTCAAAAACTTCTACAATACAAAATTAGATAAATTCATATACTCGGGCTTTTAAACAAAAAGCAACAGAAAAGAAGCTTAGGTTGGATGATATATAAAATTTACACATGCATTATTTCACAAATCCAATAGGTGCTTTATTGAGAATAATATGTACTTTGCCATTTTGTATCTTAAATAGAACATTAAATATTGATGAGTTTACAGTTAATATTTGTAATACAATATATATATTTGAATAAATAAATTTTTAAAGCATCTAGAATTTGTATTTAATAAACTTCGATTTAAGAATATTACTTAGGTTCAAAAAGAAAATCATCATATACTCTTGTTGCTTCTTGTAATTCGAGACTATGACACTTAGACCTAAAAAAAAAATCAGCATAATGTTTTTATAAGACTAGACCAATTTAATTTAGTGGTTTATGTTACCCCCTCTCTCTAAGGAAATGGGCTATTTTGGAAAAATTTTTTTTTAGAGAAAAAATTTTTGAAAATTTTACTATATAAACCTCTGCAAAATCTTCTCCTTTCAAAGTAAAGATGTAACATAAACCACTAAATTAAATTGGTCTGGCCTAAAGTGCATCTGCTAATTCCTGATCCAAAAATGTTAATACAGATCCAAAAAGTCAGCATAACGTTTTTATAAATTGCATTGACTAATTTTCAACATCCAATTTCCAAACAGGTTAGTATAATCCAAAACTAAAAAATAACATAACATTCTTACAAAATATACCTACCAAGATCATTGCTCTTGCATAGTTCTTTGCTAGTGTTTTTTTACCTTCTAATCTAAGACTGCTGCTAAAATCTAAAGAAGTCAAGTGTTGCTTTCGCATTGTTTTCCAAAAACCAAGCACATCTAGACAGCACTGGAATAATGACTAATAAAAAAAAAAGAATGAAT